AAGTAATGGGAAGGGACCCAGCCCCCAGCTCATCATTCATCACTCAGATAAGGCTTTGTCTAAGCCACACTGTTCCCATGGGATCCTTATTGACTGCCCAGGATAGCCCCTGCTCAAGGTCATAGGCTGCTCAAAGGGGCTGAGGGTTGGTGAAGGAATCCAGATGGGCCAGACAGCAAAGGGGCTGACCTCACTCCCTGCCTGCTGTCCCAGCTCTGCCTGTCATTGGTCTTGGCTCTGTGCTGTGGGCAGGGCTGTGACAGATCTCTGGGTATCCTGACTTCTTGCCCTGACAGTGGACTAGAGCTGCTAGCTATAGGAGGCAATGTCCTTGTGTGGGAATCAATCGATGGGAACTATAAAGAAAGAATGGGGGTGGGGCGGAGCAAGACACAGAACCATGTCATTTAGTCCCCATCCCCACCCTCATCCTGAGCTGCTGTGTCTTTGCTTAAGAGTGGGAGTGTCTGCACCCAGCCACTCATTCCTTCCATCCAGCCTTGTGCTGTTCATCGCAAGAAGGATTTCTCCATCTCACTAGTGGGTACCCACAAGAAGCTTGAGCCTCCTTGTTGGCTAAGAGAGAAGCACCACTGACCCGTGATCAGACATGGCTTCAGCCCTAGTCCAGGCCAGGTATGGCTTCCCAGGCTAGTACTCCATCACCATTAGGGAAATGATGGTGCTAACTGACCATCTTTTTTGCCCACCATTAGGGAGTGTTACTTTAAAAAGCACACATTCACACTGGACCCATTAATCTTAGGACATTCATAGTTAATTGGGCTTTGATTACATTTAAGGCAGTTGAAGCATCTGTTTTTTATTTTAATTATCTGATATCCTGCATAGGACCCACATTCGTATCAGAGTTCCCAATCTTAATAGACCTTTTGTTAAATAGGACCAGATAGTCTATCTCCTAGTGTTGTGCTTTCTTCATAACCCCGGGGTAGGGAAATTCTTCAGCAGTGTCTTTTGGTGAAGAACAACAAAGCCAGAAAGATGACTCCCCGGAGATTGGTGATTGGAATCTGTTACCACAGTGTCACTTTGGGATCAGTCTCCCTTTATCAGCTGACTTCAATGTGCTGTGGAGAAATTCCCACTCATTCTGAAGCTGCTGTGAGGCAATGCTTCACAGAAAACATCAGGAGGACATTCGACTGCTTGAGGTGACAGCCTTGCTATCATGAAGTTTAAAGTTAGCATCAATATTTTAATTTTTGCCTTAGAGGAGCTGAGTCCCAGCCATGCTCAATTCACTGGCATTCGGCTTCTAGTGCCCACGTGCAGAGCGTTCATTCCTCAGACTCGGAGAGATGGACCTTCCCTAGAGGACAGGTCAGGTCCCTCAGCAGCTCTTTGGGAAGGAGTGTGCAGCACCCGGGCTCTGTCTTTTCCACTCAGTCACTTACACTGCTGGGCAGATTTCTGCTTTGTTCTGCGTTTGGATGACACAACAGACCTGACAGAATGTTTTAGATCTGTGTTTTGTGATCCTGGCACATTACAAGATTCTACCTTCCACAGAACTTTTGTTTTTCAGCAAGTTAGTATTTGAAAATATTTTTGCAGTTACCTTACTGTTGTGAGATGGAATCATTTCTGTTGTAATTTCAACTTTTTCTCTTTCAGAAATGATTTTAAAGGTAATTCTTCAAGCATAGAAATGCTGTATTTCTGTAAGGAGTTAAATAAATTTCTAGAAAAAAAGCTCCAACTGCATTTCTCATGTCCAAATTTTATTTACCTTCTGGTGTGTTTTGTATCTAGTTTTTTCTACTTATGTATTTATCTGCCCATCAACTCACCTATTTGAATATGCATCTATCCACCTACCTACTCACTGACCTATACATCCGTCCGTCCATCCATCCATCCACCCCACCCACAAGTATCTACCTACCACCCATCCTTCTACTCACTTCTGGACTTTTTCAGAGAATCAGGAGGGGAGTTGAGTCTGTCTGACACTTCCAACTCCGTTACCACACACTTTCCTTCTGAAGCAATAGGAAGTAGATCAACTATCATTACACAAACACTATCACCATCATCTTTCCCACAGGCAGATAATGACAAAGTCCTACCATAGCCCCTGTTCCATACATGTTCAGGACAGGGCAGTAATCACTTCACGGGACAATGCCATTCCCAGCATCTCTTCCTAGGTGACTCTCTGGCACATTTCAGTTTTATTTATTACATTCAGTCTTTTCTATTTATCCCTTTCCTTGCTCTACAAGCAAATAAACTTATAAAGAGAATGATATTGCAACCAGAAAGTCATAATAAAAACACACTGCTCTCTCACAAGTATACTTTTATTACAATAATTTAATGTACTTCTTCACTGTGTCTAGGTACCAAATGGTGCTACATGCTGATTTACCTTTAACATATATATATATATATACATATATATATTATATATATATTCATACACATAATATATATATGAGTATATATAATATATATACTCATACTCATACTCATAATATATGTATATATATTATGAGTATGAGTGACCTGTCTTCATGCACACACACAAGAAGAGGGATCCCATTACAGATGGTTGTAAGCCACCATTTGGTTGCTGGGAATTGAACTCAGGACCTCTGGAAGAGCAGCCAGTGCCCTCAACCACTGAGCCATCATTTCAGTCCAGGCCTTTAACATTCCTAAGTCTACAATTAGCTCACAAGTTTGCATCAAACTTAAAAACAGACCATACAAGCATAAAAGACTGACTGTCCCCCAATGTTCCACCAAAATCTCTTTTAAGACTGATACATAGTTTAAACTTTTCTTGTTACATCTAACTATGCAAGTAAGAATAAAGAGAAAGCAAGTTGAGAAACATGTCTGAGCTCCTGCTTTGACTATGTCCTAGGACTTGTCTAAGGAAATATTGATGTTTCCTGTTGGGACTTGGGCTCAGTTCTACTCTGTACCCTCTAGTGTAATGGGTTTGTCAGTCTTGGCTTGTTCTTAGCAAATAGTGACCTGCAGAACAAATAGGAAAATCTTGTCTTGCCCAGTTTGGTTTGTGGATTTTAAGGATCCAGGCTCAGTTGAGGCTTTCATGGAGCCCCTAATACCATGTCTCCTCTTCTTGCCTTTTATTATTCACCCTCTCTCCCTAGGAGTTTTATTTTTATTATTTATTTATTTATTTATTGGCCCCCCAATCTAGCTTGATTTTTGTCAACTCTAAGAAACTTTCATCATGTAGCGTAGTTTTGTTGTTGTTGTTATTATTATATTTTGCTTGTTTTTAGTGGTAGTAGTGGGTTCTCCCCAGCCTTTCATCTTATTTTGCATTTGGTGTCATTTTAAAGGTAGGAGAGTGGCCACCTAACACAGCTTCTCTTTCCTACTACTATTCCCCAGCAAAGCAGGCACCTCAGAGGAAGCAAGCAGAGACACCCAGGGCTCTGGGTAATTCTCAGTTGAACCGATGTTTAATCAGCGACTCAGTAAGCTACAGGCATTCACATGAGCGCAACAAGCTTGATATGGGAAAGAATTATGAAAAAATGAGACCTAAGATACCAAAACCATTGTAAGATCCAAGATCCTGTTTGGTGAGAAATCCAAGAAAAATTGGAAAGGAAGAGTCTGTCTATACATCTGCATAAAGACCCTGCAGATGAACATTAGCCTGATAACGGGAAGTCTCTTTAGACTCACCTTCTCAGCCTGTGCCCATGAAGGCGAACTTTAAGAAATGGCATTCTAGTGTGCATTTACCAAGAAAGTCCAAATAAGAAAATGTTAAAAAGACTTCTATCTCAAAGGCCAAGTTAATCTTACAGGTTACAGAATAAGATACAGGGACAAGAATGACCCCTCCCCCCTTTGTGACATCTCCAACTATAGCTTAGGCTATGCTTTAAATAACATTTTCAGTGTTACAATTTGAGCACAGTATCACAGGGTTACAGAGAGTCTCTAACACCTCCAGCCACAGACACACCACAAAAGCACACTTTCTCAGATTCCCAGATAAACAATTAAGACTTAAAACTAGGGGGATGGGAAAAATAGAAATCTCTTCCCTTTATTTTGGTAAATTTTTGCAAATGTAAGGATTATTCTGGCCGAGGAGCCCAGTGAATAACCTGAATAGTATACTTTCTGGATGGTTTTATAAACAACCACTTAAGCTCTTCCAGTACAAAATTTGCCCGTTACCCAAGCAAGTCTCCCTGACAATGATGACAATTTCATTAATTAAACAGGTGTATCCTGTACCCTCACATGCTGAATAATTAAAGTTCAATTCTACTGAATGCAAATTTAGCAGAGACAATGAGAACACGAAGGAATGACTGTTACTACATTTCATTACAGTAAATGTGGTAGAGGTGAATTTCTTTCCACATCCAAAAACAAATACATAAAGTCCCATAGACGAGTGAGAAATCAGCCAGTAGGAAAATCTACACACTATGACTGGTGAGGGAAAAACAAACCAAGAGAGATTCAAGCAAGACAAAAACATGTTCAGCGCTATATCTTTTGAAACCCACTACAAGGTAACGTTTGGAAGCAACTGGACCTCACAGTACAATTAGGAAAGACAACATGATGGCCATTCGTGGTGGCACTAGCTAGTCACTCTCTTTTAGCTATTCTACTGAATTTTGGCGGAGGGAGGGGGTTGAGACAGGGTCTCTGTGTAGCCCTGGCTGTCCTGGAACTCTCTCTATACATCAGGCTGACCTCAAACTCACAGTGATCCACCTGCCTCTGCCTCCAAAGTGCTGGGATTTAAAGGCATTCACCACTACTACCTGGCATATTCTACTGAATCTTAGGGATAAAGTTCTAAAATTTAAGAGTCTCCAGATCTGTAAGTCCCATTCCTGACTGAGAAGAGTGGCTTTACAAGCACCATACAGAACCTCCCAGAATAACCACAGCATTAGTGGCAACTGAATGGAATGAATTTGTGGTCAATCAACTATTTGAGAACTCAAACCAAGTTCTTTCCAAACAGTAAACCATATATGGAAGTGTCAGACACATTTGCTTTGAAACACTTGTACCCACTCTTAAATCCCTACTGACTTCAAGAAACGGTTTCACCTTTTTTCCCTCAGCAAAATTTAATGCTCTATTGCCAACCCAGCTTCCATCCAAATATGCAAAGGGGTGTTCAATTTTATAAACTTCTTTTCGCCTAAGAGAAGACTTGGGTTTGTCATGATGCCAAGTCAGAGATTTTCAAACCAATATCACGCATGAGACAAGTACAGCAGACACGAGATCAAATTCCTTATCACAGTAGTCACACGACGTGAAGTGCACAGTGGCCTTTGAGGCTGTGACCCCACTCCTCACTCTTATGGTTCAGGATGATTGATTGGAGTGCCACACAGATCTGGAAAAAGAGTAAGAGAGTCACTAATGAGTAAATGCCAGGCAACTGAGTCGTTTTTTCTCCACAGAAAGCCCATACTGGTGGCAGCGCATTTTAAAACTTATGAAACAAATGTATGTACATGAAAAAGTAGAAAGGAAGACATATCCAACACCACCCTGGATCCTGAGTCCAGTTTCCAGAATGATTCACAGGCCAACCCAACTGTTCTCATACCATCTTTCAGTCTTTTTGGACCAAGCGTCTCTCGAGGTCCCCCATAAATGCAGGAGCATGTAAGGATGTTTTACAGTGAGAATGGGTGAGGAACTTGGGAGGCACTAGCTATTTTGATTCATATTGCTTTAGCTATGTAATTTATTTGAATGTGCTAGCCTTTGAGAGTAATGAGTTTTCATGGGTTAGAATCCAAGTTTCCCCTCTTGGGTTGAGAAGTCAGATGAAATTGAAGATACTTGTCCGTTTAAATGTCAGCTGGCCATTTCTAGACACTTGCTAATCTTACACCATGAGTTCTGTTAAGATGCTTCTAAGTGTTGTGATTGGATATTAGCACAGAGTGATTATTATAGAATACACTATGTTTCTACTTAGACCCTTACATCTCCAGGGCACCAGCGTAGCCATTCACTTACAACCCACAGCCCCATGTGCTCTACCTTGTATGGACACGGTTGTATTTTGAGTCACATTATATATCATATCATGGCGTTAGTCATTCTGATTTCAAGATATCAAAGTGACCCTCTGGGGATGCAGGTGTAGTGGGCCACAGAAGACACCATTTGGAAAATCTAGTGAAGTTACCTTTTTTTCTCTTTTGTCTATGAAAAAAGAAATGTGGGGAATAAGCCTAGTTTGTGTTGTACGCCATGAGTAGAGTGCTCAGTGACCTTTCTTCTACCCAGTGCATGACGACTCAGTGGCACCCACAGATCCAGGTAGCGCCCTCCCTCACTGAGATCTTCCCCATGCATTAGGTGACACCAGCGTTTATGAGGCTGTCACTGCTGTGCCACTTCATAATGCAAACATGGCCACCCTGTGACATGAACAGGTCTTCTCCATCACTCCCCATTTATGTCTGTGCGTGAGGGTGAATGACTGAGCCTTCGCACATTGGAGAGTCAGACTGTGCCCTCATCTGATCTTCTCCAGAGAAAGAGACAATCTAGACAAAGCAAGGAAAAGCAAAACCCATACATACATTGTGTATGTTTGACGTGGAAAGCAAGCTTCCAGCAAACTCTAGAAACATCTATTTTCTAAACAGTTATTTATGTCCCTATGAGCAATAGGTGAGTGTTTCCTAGTTTTCAGGATGGTATGGTATATGTGGTACAGTCCCCCACCCCCACATACACACATACACACTGAGCCATATATAGGATCCAGCCTTGCGAGAGACGCGGTTTACATGGCTGAGACAAGGCCACAGCAAAGCTGTTGTCTAACACAAGACACACTGTGTCTCTGAAATATAGCTGGCACCCTGATCAGGTAGAAAGGCCACTGCACTGTGTTGTAGATGACACTTTAAGGCATCATGAGTTTTTCTGTGACACAAAAGAGTCACCTTTTATGGCCATCCCATGTGTTAAATCACAGCACTCCTTTGTTAGTCATGCATTCACTAAAATTTATTTTCTAATTTGGTTTTCTTGAGACAGAGCCCTGTAACCTAGGTTATCTCTGTGGTGTGTGTGTGTGTGTGTGTGTGTGTGTGTGTGTGTGTGTGTGTGACACTCCCTGTGTGTATGCTGGAGGTCAGGCAATTGTACATTAACATATATTACATATAAGATGCTATCTTGAGAATGGGGGAACACCTATTGCTTTTAGGGAGACAAATAATATTTAGAGAATAGATAACTCTAAAGCTAGAGATTTGGTTGATAGCTCGGTATTTGTGTCACTGGGTGCTGTTTTAACTTTTTTTGGCAATAATTTATGTCAGTCTGAACGAGCAGTCTACCTTGCTCTCATGGTGTTAGCCTGCTTTAGTTGCAGGACTAAGGGTGCTCAGTCTCTGTTAAACACTAAGTTACCCCCAGTTTTTGCCTTAGGTATAAGCTGTTGTATTCATCACAAGCTTAGTGAAGAAGCCCAGCCCTGAAGGGCTCTATCTTCCATGCCGCCCGGGCGGAGCAGCCGCATTTGACTCTGTACAGCCCAGCTACTGGCTGGAAAGAGTTGAAAAACCATCAAATGCAGTTGTCTGGTGTTCTTTTTTACATTAGCAGCCGCCCTGCATGTCTCTTAGGTTTATACTCCATGCTTGTATTTTCCTTTTTATTTCCAACTGCTCCCATATAGAAAATGAAGAGAGGGTGCTAGCATTACTGACATGGAGTCAGGTTGCTGAATCTGGGAGCAGTCTTCCCCTCAGAATCTCAATTCAGAGGCAGTGACTGCCAGAGACAGTGACTGACATTCAGGTCTTTCTGGAATGCCTGGGTGTTCATGTAGTCATTTCTGGTGTCCATCATACAGCTATGGCTGGTTCAGTTGTTTACAAGGAAAACTAGCAGACAGATTTCAAACCCTGCTCATCATATGTTTACTAATATCTAACATACACCTAACACAACTGAACTGATTGAAAAAACCCAGAAAGTCTTTGTTTGGTAAGTATGGCTATGAACTTGTGTGAATTTCACAATTTTGTAATTATATAAACAATGTAAAATGTCTCAGGCTACATTTTACTCTCTACATTTTACTGGATTTTTCTACAAGTTCCCACTGGAATGGAATTTTAAATAGAAAGCAACCTTATTGTCCGCTCAGAGTGAGAAAACTTAAACGATCTTGTTAGTGGGTATGTGACCCTCTTATCTAGAAATTTCTAATGACATCAACATATAACTACAATCACATAGTAATATTCCTTTAAAGGCAGGTACCACATTTGATATATCAGTGGCATGTATATACTCTCTATGAACACCTGCTGAATTGGATCTCAAGCATTGGCATGGCTAGAACACTACACTGGTTTAAGCCACTGTCGTCATATAAACCCACTCATTTTCTTCCTAAAGATACCTGAGAAGCCCTACTCAATGGACTAATTCTGTTCTCTCTGCATAAACATGAGTCAAAATTAGGACACAGGTATGCCCAAGCAGACTGAGGTGGGGGGCTGGCCATCACAGAATCCACTGTGGCATACAGCAGATAACAAACATTCTGCTCATTTTTTCTAGCTTCTAAGTGGGCATACATGTGTCTAAACTATGAAGCAAGTATTATTTAAACATGTTGAGACAGAAAAAATTAAACTTTTTAGATGTAGATACTCAGAGGAAAGAACTGAAAAAAATTTTTTTGACATAACCCAAACAAGCAAAAATTTTTCATGCCTTGTCTTTCAAAATAAAAATCCCACCTTCTGTTGTTGGAACACATCTCTTCCTGGGCCAGGATAGAAAAATGTAACATCTAGGACTTTAAAATTAAAGTCAATGGCTTTGAGGTTACCCAACTCTGAAAATCAGTGGATTTCTGCCCACTCTCTTGGAAAAACCAGAGATGGAGAGTCAGCAGGGGAGGCTCCTGCCTGGGTTTCTGTTGCTCTGCTTTCTGGCACAGGGGCCCTATCTCCAGCTTGTGTGGGAGCTGAGCCTGGCTGGCAGGGAGGAAGCCTGGCTTGGCTGTAGATGATCTGTGCAGTGCGAGGCAGAGTGAGAGCGGTGAGCAAGGCTGGAAGCACGTGTTACATCAGACACAGTACCTGATTTTTCACTGCACAGCATGTCAGCTAGATGGTGTGCCTCCTGGGCGATAAGTGCGAATATCTCATCCTCATACTTTTCAATGATGGCTTCGCACTGCAGAAACACAATGGCAACACGTGTGAGCAGAGGCACATGGGCAGGACCCCTTATTAGCACAGGCTTAGCGACATTTTAGTAGTGGAACACAGAAAAGCATGTAACCAAGGAAGTTCATTTTCCTTGGCCCCTCTGGTTTGATACATCATTGCACAAGAGTAACCCTCCTCCAGGAATGCTAATTGTATCATTTTCCTACGACTTCACTTGTTGGAAGACCTCAGAGGAGGTGGGAGAGGAGAAGGGAGAAGGAAGGAAAATGGCTGGCTATGTTTGTTTCTATTCCTAAAGTCTGGAGTGCAATAGACAAGAAGGAACCCAAAGCTTTCCTTTCCCATTTCCTTCAACATTTTAAAGACCACATCTCCTGGAAATGATTAAACCAGTTTCCTTACAATTTAACAGAAAAATCCACTTTGTAATTTGAAAATTGGAAACAATTGAGACTTCTCAGCCATCATAACAATGGCACCTGCTAGATTAGCTGCAGAGCACTGTGCTGGCCTTGCAATCATTTAGGAATGAGCTCAAATCCTGGCTTTGCTTCCCAAAGCAAATACAAAAATAAAAATAAAACAAGTTGACACTTCAGGCAGGAGGAAGCACAAATTTGCCATGAGATCTGAAGGTGTTAAATTCTGCCTGGAGTGTGTCTTTCCCACCAAAACTACCAGGAGGCCTTTTTTGGAACTGTGGGTTACTGATGGCCATCCACTGGAGACTTGTAAACCATCTCTGAGTTCATTAAGCGAGACTCTAAGAATTTTAGATGGCATTTAAAAATATTTAAATTCCTCTATAATGTGTTTATTTAAAACCTGTGAAAGACAAACACACTCACATCACCATTCAGGTTCCATGGGGCTTTTAGTCCTGAATTATGGCCCTCACTTTTTAATTAAAATGAAAGCTTCAAATGTCAGCTACAGCCTCATGTTGGGGCTGCAGCAAGCCTGACATTTTGGCCACTGTGTGAACTTAATACATTTTAAAAACAATCCTGCCCATCACTGTGTGGTTCAATAGCATTAAGTAAAGGGAAATACATTGCAATGTATTCTTCCAGGCACACCCTAGGAAGCCAGAGACCAATTTCTTTTTTCTTTTCTTTCTTTTTTTTTTTTTCTTTTGTAAAATCAACTTTATACTGAAAGAAATGTGGGATTGTGCTCTTGACCCCAGACCTTGGTGTAGCCTAGCCTCAGCTACAAAACTTAAATTAACTGGAGGAAAACGCTGTCTTTGAGAAGCCTGTGGGGGTCGGGGGAGAGCATGTTAGGGCTACCACTCCAACATTTAGCTATAAATATTTGAAAACAACTCTTGGCTTCCATTGGGATTTCAGCCTAGAAACCACAACCCCTGCACTTCCTGAGGTGAAAACCCAGACCCAATCCCTTTGAAACAAGACAGGCTGAGGTCACCCCACACTGGCAGAATGTCCTGATAAACAATGGGCAAATCGTGTTCATGTCACCAGGGCAGGACACACAGGGCACCTTCCATAAAAATCCCTTCAGTCTTCCCACTGATCTCTGAAGGATGCAGGATCCCCAGGTGTCTCACAAGCCAAGTCACTAAGCGTTAAGACTTAAGCAGTAGGGCTGCACAGGACACTAGGGCATGTGAATGTGCCTGACTGATTGTCCACTGTTCATCAACAGCTCAAGAGTAGCCACAGGCAGAAAAAGGATACCCCAACAGACTCTTAGAAGGGGGCTTACCGCGAATTTCAAAGGTTTGAAGGCATCAGAATAAAAGAAGAACTTTTTATATTCTTGGTATATTTTGTCTCCCTTTCTAGGAGCGTATCTCCTGAAATACTTCTGCTTGGTCACTGGGTCATCTTCCAGCTGGTAATCGTTCATTCGCATACACACTTTATCCAATAGGTCCACGAGGAACGCCTCAGACTGGGCCAGGGGAACCTATAAGAAGAACAGAACCAGCCAGAACACTTGCCTACTCACACCCAAGTCCATTGAATGCGTGGAAGAACGGCTTTCCCAATGGAAGCAGCTGCACCGTTCTTTATGTAGCTTAAAGCGAGCGTAAATTCTAGCAAGAAAATAATATGCTTGACAGTGGGCAGTAAGAAACTGAACAATGTAGAAACTATACTTATAGATGTCATATTAAAAAGTTGTTGAGTAGAGGCTTTAGCACAGAAAATGGGAGGAGACGGGCGTCGAGAACGCAACAGTTTGTGGGGAAGCCACGCTTCTGCCCATCCCAAGTCGCTCTGCCCTCCTTGTCTTCCGGGCATCTCGGCGGCTGTGCAGGGTCTATGCCGAGGTGGTCGTAGGTGGTAGGACTCGGGGTGCCCCTCACAGGCCCGACTCTGGGAACAGCTGGCGTGCATCCCGGGCACCCCTCTCCCTCCGGGACCTGCCGGGCTCTGTGCCACCACCTCCGCCCCGGGCGCGGGTCAAAGAGCACCCCGCGCCCTTGGAAACCGAGACAAAACCTCGTGCAGCGTCTAGACGGGTCAAGGTGCAGGAGGCCTGGTCCCCGCGGCTTCTTCCGGAAGGGGCGTGGAGCCGCCAAGGGCGCCCGGCCGGGCCCGCGGCTTTGCGCGCTTTCTCGCTCTCCACCCTCTGCTGATCAAAGAAGGAAGTTTGCATGACAACCGCGCTGAAAGGGGCTGCATGACAAATGAACTCGGTTTCTGCAGTGTTGATATATCCAGCCCCCTTTGTCCCCTTTCACACGCAGTGTGAACCCTTCCGGTGCCAACGACTGCGCGACATTCACAGGCGCGCTCGGGGCGCACAAAGGGTCCCGGCGCTTCCCCGCCATCTGGCCGCAAAGCCGATCCGCAATTAACATGAAAGCGCGGGCGGCGTGGCCCGCGAGGAACACCCCCGGATCGCCGCTGCCCCCAGCGTCCACCAGGAACCGACCCTGGAAGTACGCTTTACGCAGAGCGCAGGAGCGGCGCGCCAGGACCGCGCCGGTCACCGCCCAGCACCTGCTGCGGCCCAGGTGAACCTCGGGCCACCAGGAACTCTCAAGGCCCTGATTTCGCAAGAGCAATTAATTAAATACGTCTGCGAACTAAAATGAAAATACTCCGCAGCAGGTATCAAGTTCTTGTCTCCAAATTCAATATATATATATATATATATATATATATATATATATATATATATATATTTCTTCAACGGCACTTTCAACCACAACTGGCATTTAATTTAAGCTTTTCAAACTTTGTAAGTTGCAACAAAGAGATTCACAGGTTTACTGACTCAACTGAAAATCGAATAACTGATGGACACTTCGGTAAACTTGGCCTGGAGTGGGCGGGGGGGGGGGGACACTGGGAAAAGCAAGAGATCGCAAAGGCGAATTCTTACGTTAATGACTCAAAGCTGGCCATTAACACAACGATGGTCTGCGTTTTCAGGGATGTCAGTGTGTCTTTTCTTAACTGATACATATAAATGGAAGTTTCTAGTTGTTCACAAAGAAGGATTTTAAGTCACAACGAGGGTGGGATCGTTTATTAAAAAGAAACAAAAACCTAATAACAACCAGGAAATTCAATGTCTCCTTCCCTCCCCCATCAGAAAATCAAGCAGACTCTCTGCGTGGGGGTGGGGAAGGGAGGGCCTTGGGCAGGAGGGCCCAGAGTGGGGAAGAGGGCCCTGGGAAACTCAGTCCTGTTACCAGGCCAAGACTGTCCTCACACACTAAGCGTTTCTAGTCGCTTCCCTAGAAACTGTTCTGTTTTTCTTCCCTTTTAAAATTGACCTAATACTCTGAGCTGTGTGCAGAAGACTGCTGAGCCTTACAAGTCTGGGGCAAAATCATGAAAGCCTTCTACTCATTACTTTCGAGAGCTTTTACTTTTACAAACGTTTGCTGGGTTGCACTTTTTGAAAATAGTCCTCCACTTTAAAGCCGGCAGTAGACGTAACAGTACGTTGTGTTTAAAGTATAACCTTACACCTTTGGATATGGAGGCAGCGTGCCCTACTTGAACACAAATAGATTGGTGTGTGTGTGTGTGTGTGTGTGTGTGTGTGTGTGTGAATTTCTACATTTTTTTTTTTTAAAGTTTGAAGATCGACAGCTTTTACATGGCGTTAGCTAGCCCTTTGCAGAAATCTTTAAAACCAGGCACAGTTGCTGGCTGAAGGCTTACTAGATACTATAAGCTTCTCCAGAAAAGGGAAGGCAGCCCTCCCAAAAACAAGGGTGTTGAGGTCATTTTACGGAAGAGTCTTCAAATTCTGATCTGAAAGTCCCAGAGTACCGGATATTGGAAAAATATTTTTAAAAGATGTTTTCATCACAGCTCTTTATACGTGCATTAAAATCTACATTAATATGATTCCACTCAGCTGAACCACCTTTAGTAAATTTAAAGACTGTTCATAAAATAATTGACCTCCCCAAAATTGCTCCGATTCTAAGAATGCATTAGTACTGAGACAAGTGGAATAAGAACCAAGTCTTTCTTTGTACACAGTGAAGGTTTTGAATGGAACTTGTCAATAATGCGACTCCCTTTGTGATCTTCCAGGAACCTCGCCTCTGTCATGCAAGGACTGTCTCAGAGATACTGGCCTCATTAAAATATGAATGGAAAGGGCCGTTGCCGCCACCGCTGTGTCAGAGAACCCGTTCAGGCTTCTCGAACAGTTTTCTTGCTGTTTTATGGGGACTCCTATAGCACGTTAGAAAAGTAAAAATAATCCAGTATCTATCTTTTCCTCACTATCCCAGGGAACCTCAATCAAAGTTAACCTGACATCTCCCAGTTTTGAAGCCCCGCTTCACCTCTAAACCACATGTGGCATATGCAATGTCCAGCTTCCACTTTTCCACTTTAGGCTTCTCCTAACCACTGGCTTGTGAAGTGAGCAGGGGAAAGGGTGTGGGGGTACCAGACCACAACTTTGAAATGGAAGAAAAGTAGCAGAAAGTTCTGGTGTGGGTTTCTCCAGGAGTCAACATCGATGGAGTTTGTTACAGACTACTATGACTACACTTTAATAACAGCCAATTACATCATGCTTCATGTTTTTTCATTACTGTGTCTCTGTTAATCTTGTAGCAAATTTCTTGCTTGATAGCTATCACAAGCAGGCAGGAATACAATTATGTCACCGCACAATGGATGTGGAGACACTAGTTGTGATGTGTCCCCTCTCTGCCATCACAGCCTGACAGTCCCCAATAAACTACATTCATCCTCATGGCTGTTCTGTAGTTTCCCTTCAGACATGAAGGTGGCACTTAACCTGCTTAGTGGCTAATAATTTCTTATTGTTGCAGAGCTTTTCCTTTCTTGAAGGTTGGTTAATGTAGCAATGGTAAGTGCTTTATAGCAAACATTGCATTCAGTTTCATTGCTAACTTTCCATCCATAAAGAATGGAATCACCGCGGATATTAGCTAAAAATCATTATTGAGATGCAAAAAATTACAGCTCCTCACCTTAGGCTTGGATTCAGAAACTCTTGAAAGCTGAGGAGACATATAAATTAGCTTTTATGTTAATTGACTGCTATGAGTTTGTTGTATGACACTCCTCCATATAATATGCAAATTGCTTGACTGTTTTGGTTTTATTAGACAATATGATTACAAATCTGAAGGAATTCATTTTGATGAGAAGTAATAGAAGTTGATGGATTTCCAGTCATATATATGTATGTATGTATGAATTTATGTATGTATGTGTAGGTATGTATCTATGGGGGGGTCACATCCAAACCCAACCCATAAAAGAGTTTTTTGTTTTGTTTTTTGTTTTTTTCCTGGTAGCCTGTATTTAAAGAGCAGCTGGAGCATCACAAATCCTCATCATTGGTATTTCAAGTTTTCACCAACTTCCTGACTGGGCTACAAAGGCCTGCAACTACTACAGTATTCTTGCCTTCAAGAAAAAAGAAAATTCCCATCTGAAAAATGGAAACAAGTTATTCTGATTTGAAAGGCTATTTTTTTGCAAGTATTTTCCATTCTTATCCTTGGAGTATGAGGGTACTGATCAGTATCATGTATTTTCCAGGAGCTAGAAATTAGGGGAATCTCCCCCCCCTCGACTCCAGATATATATATATCCCCCCCCCAGGTTATCTTCAACTTATCAATGACAGAAGAGAATAAAAAAAAATGAATCAAACTGTGGATCAGGACAAATGATCGCTGAATTGAGGGGAGGGCATCTAACACAACTTCTAAAGTTAAAAAATAAGTATTTTTTTCTCTCATTATTAAATATTAAATCGTCACTGCTATTAGGTTTCTCATTTAAAAAATACTCTTCAAGTTCTTTTAAAAACCTATTACATTTTGAATGTATTAAGTAAAATGAAAAGCACAACTACCCATATAAAAATATGGCTACTGTCAAACTTTTGTGAAGTCTTGTAAGCAAAATCTTTGGTACAGTGTCACCATGCGCCTGGCTTTGTCCTGTACTTAGTGCAGTGCTGGAGAGTACAATAGGAGAAAGAGCTTGAACCAGGGTGGTTACAGACCAGAGCAGGACAAGACTGTGGTTGTTGAAGGCTGAGGAAGCCAGAGACCAGCCTGGGCTACATAATAAGTTTCTGGGTAACCTGGACTAGAGTATTCTGTTTCAAAAGATCAAAATTTAAATAGAAATAAAAATAATTCATTTATTTAATTGACAAAGAATTACTAGGACCTATCTACACTGCAGACAAATGCATTTGTCAAATACAAACTTTAAAAAAATAATATTGTTTTATTTTTTGTGTATGGTTGTATGCATGTCTGTGTACCACATGTGTGGCGGCAGAGGGTGAAATTATGAGCTGCTGCATGGGTCCTAGAAAGTGAAGGAGTCCCCTGAAAGGGCAGCCAGTGCTCTTGACTGATAAGCTATCCCTCAAGCCCCAAATACAGATCTTCTTAAAGACTCTTCATAGTTTTGAATTAACACTGAAATAATTTTATTTAACTAGAATATGTCCTTAGTGGGCATCAGCTGGTAATAGTA